CTTAATAACATCAATTAAAAAGTTAATTTAAAAAATATATATACAATAATGTCAAAAAAATCTATTATTATTACTTTTTCAAAGAATTAGTAACTAAAGTTAATACTTCTTGATTCTCATCCAATAAAAGCATTATTCCTAAATATCCAAGTCTTTTATCTGCAAATCTATTTGAAGCAACTAGTTTTAAACATTCTATTTGACCAAAATGAGCTGGATAGCCTAACATGTGAATGTAAAGTAGCTTTGCCACATTTGAATGTCGTGCATCATTATTTTCTTCTTTGAAACTTGTACGTATTGCTGCTGATTCTTTTTGAATGACAGTTCGTTCATCAGCTGCCGTTTTACAGGCACGAATCGCTTTTATGAGATCTATAAGAATAACAATGAGATCAAGGTTAATTTAATTTACTAATTTTACTGATGTATAAACATAATGATCACAATCTAACAAAGATGCTTGTAAAAGTTTGGTTTTCTTAGTAATTTATATTACCCTTAAGACGATAATATGGCATAATAATAAGTTATTATAAATGGTAATAAGAATTTAAATGTAAATTAAATTGACACACTTTTTCGTGGAACAACAGTTTTAACTTTGCGTGTAACATAAATGCAAACAGAAAATTTAAAAGTTAAAGCCTAAGGCGCACGTGAAATGATCCATTTGTTGTTGTATAGCAATAGATAAAGACATCGCAATATGGGGCTGTTGCAGTAGAAAGGAACATTTTTGGATTGCATAATAAAATTTGTAAAATCTTGATTTCAACTTGGAATTTCTTATGAACTAATAATGATCATCACATTAGTTTCCCATTTTATAATTTTGACATTTCTCTATTCAACAAGGCAAAGGTCAAACAAATGCTTTACATACATTTAAAGCATAGATGCATTGTGTTTTTCAAAGACACCTTCAGATAAGGAATATACCTAAAAAACAACAAGTATTTCTACACTAAACTAAATAAATAAAGACAAGACAAGAATAACAACATCCTTGGCTTGTTTAATCATAAATGTTAGGTGGCTACAATGACACTTTTGATATGTTGGTCTTTCTGTATGGTATGGTACTTTTGATGATACCAACCAAACTCGGTCGTTTTTCACTGATGGTTTTTTTGTTCAACCCCATTTCTCATTTTCAATATATTCTTTAAGTTAAGGCTTCGAACGAAATTCGAACCGATTCGATTCGATTTGATTTGAAATGATTCGAATGTATGATTTGATTCGAATGTATAACAATCATTATCATTCATTAGTTATATTTATTAATGAATTGTGCAACTGGCAATTGTATTATTTTTAATACTTAGTAGGGTGAAATTACTGAAATTAATTGGCCTAAATTTTGGCAAAACTAATTTTAATTGAGCAAAATTATTTTAAATTTTTTAAAAATAAAGTAGATTAATTTATTAATGTATTTGGTAAAAATACCTTTCTTTCAAAAATAGTTTTGGCCACCATCACTACATGATATCCTTTATCAATTAAAAATTTTGAATTTAAAAATATACACAATCTTGGTTTAACAGATAGTTTGGGTAATTAGAAATTTTTTTTCAAGAATCCATTATTATTATATTAATACAGTCACAATAAATGCTAAAAATGCATCATTGATGATGTCATGATATAAAATGAATCGATTGACAACAATTGGGATCCAAGTTGGACCTCATTTTACTATCTCAAACTGATTTATTTAGGTCATGTATATTATCATTTTGCATATTCTCACAAGAAAGCTGTGTTAAAGTCAGTGTTCTCTTTGAATTCTCTCCAACATTAGGAAGTTTTACATAAAATTTTATGGCATAGAA